TTTGACATCGTTCATTTATATATGGTATTTAAAGCTACAAGACTGAATGAATCCCCTAGAAATGTTAGGAAGAGAAAAGAATACAAGGACTGGGACTGGGACACTCCTACATTTAGAACTTGGAAGAGGAGACTTCTCCAGCAAAGAGCAGCAGTGAGGAAGGAAGAAAACCAGAAGAATGCAATATTACAAAAGGTCAGTAAAAAAATTAATTTCAACAAAAAGATGCAATTATTTGTGTCAAATGCTGCTAAGCAGTCAAGACGAGAACTGAGAATTGATAATCACATTGGTAATATGGTAGTCATTGGTGAATTTGAAAAGAGTGGACTCATTGAATGGTAATGATGAAAACCTTATTGGAGTGTGCTATGGCTCAAACATATCCCCCCAAAGTTCATATATTGGAAACTTAATCCCCACCATAACACTGCTAAGAGGATGGGAAATCCACTTATGGTATTTGAAAGGTGGAGCCTTTCAGAGGTGATTAGATTGTGAGGACTGTGCCCTTGTGAATGGATTGATTAACTGCACAGTTCTGATGGCTTTATAAGGAGAGTGAGAAGGTTAAAGCTCACTCTTGCTCAGCTCATTCTCACCATGTGATGCCCTGTGTCACACTGTAGAGAGTCACCACCAAGAAAATGGTCTTTATCAGATGTACCCCCTGGACTATGAACTTCCCAGCTTCTGAAACCGTAAGAAATAAATTTCACTCTTTTACAAATTACCCAGTTTCAGGTATTCTGTTATAAGCAACAGAAACGGACTAATACAGAGTGTGAGAGAAAAGAATGTAAGAAAGTAGAGAAAGCAGTATATATAACTCTTTCACAGTTTTTTCTACAATCATAAGCAGAGATATGGATTAAAGGGAGTATGTATTTTAAAAGATTAGTAACCACAGCATGTATGTATACTGAAGAAAGTAATCCAATAAATATGGAAAATAATTGTGGTGCTACTGCTGGTTGACTATACAGTAACCACTCCCATACCACCTTGTTATTAAGAAAAACCTAAATTTTGCTTGTAATGACAAAATTGTATGCAGCCCAAAATGATGAATCATTATTGGCAATCCCATTCCCTTTTGCCAAATACTAGTTTTGCCACTCTCCTTTGAAGCTAGAGGTAATTATGTGGCCTAATTTTAGTCAATGAGACATAAAATATACCAGGGAATTATTGTGTAAACTTTTGTTTCTTTTTAAAAATAAAAGGCAGTAAGTGCTAAAAGAGAGCTTGACTGTGCTACCTCCACATCCTTGCCGCTGACTTGGTATACATATGACACCTAGAGCTTAAAGCAAGCATTTTGTGGTCATGAGGTGACAAGCATGAGGACGAAACGAGGAAATATATGAAAGAGCCTAGTTTCTGGGTACTTGATGACATTGCTAAGCCACTGAACCAATGTCAGGAATCTCAATGTTATGACTTTTTTTATATGAGAAAAATAATCACCTTTTAAATGGCCATTAGTCAGATATTATTTTACTTGCAGATGAAAGTATTTTTGACAGATACATGGGAGAAAGGAAATAATCGAATAGACGAAGTCCTTAAATAGTTGAGAGTGGATAGAAAATGGTACACAAATAGTGATGGAATTAGCTTTTTTAAAAAGTACACAAAAGTCATTTTAATAGTAGGAAATAATGGGTATATGTGTATAGATTTGGCAGGAAGGTAGGATAATGGGAAGATAAAATAGTTTCTAGTTTCTCTCTTGTTTAGTAAAACAAGAAGTTAGGTAATCGACTAACAGCAAAGAAGGGAGAAATATGTTGGCAATTTAAGAGAGGAGAGAAAAATTTGTGAAAAACTAATGTCAGAGACTGAGAGACTAAATTAAACATGGTAGAGTAGGATGAATACCTGGCTGGGCTATATGTCCTCATGTGTAGCCATAAATTTAAAGTGGGGGAAGCAAGAGAATGGAAGACCAGCCAAAACTTATCAGGGAGATACAGGGAATGACACAAAGTGAGTCTTGGCAAGATCCCACTTATACTACTGGTATGGAAGGCTATGTGCTTGCGCAAGGCTGAGCAGACACTCAGGGGAGACTAGAGAAAGCTTTAGTGAGCTACTTATCCCTGGCTGAATGTAAGGCTCTGAGAATGCAGAGAGTAAAAGTTATGGCAGACATACAAACTGCCTGAATTTTAAAAGAATCCCCCAAGACATACACAGATCCATTGGCTAATGGTGAAAATCTTACTGACTTAAGGTGTTTAAGCGCAGCCTTTGATCAATAATTGTTTGGTCACTAAGTTATACTGACACTCGGGCAGCCCCAAGGAAGCCATGCTTAAAAGTAATAATAATAATAATGATGATGATGATGATGATGATGATGATAACGATAATAATAAACCTAAGCAAGGATATTTGTAGTGTCAACTGGGGAAAATCAGTCTGAAAAATTGCAAAACAAATAAACAAACAGAAAGGAGCAACAATAACCAGTCCCTAAGAGTAGGTAGTCAGAAGACATAGCTGATAGACTATATTATTTAAAACGTCCAGTTTTCAACAAAAACTATGTTATATACAAAGAAACAGGAAAGTATGACTCATGCAGAGTGAAAAATGTAGTCAAACTTACTCTGAGAAGGTTGAGGTGCAGGACTTAGCAGACAAAGACTTCAAAGCACCTAAAATGTTTAAAGAACTGAAAGAAACCATGTTTAAATAATTAAAGAACAGTATGGTAACAATGACTCATCAAATAGAGAATAACAATAAAGAGATAGAAACTACAAAAAAGAAACATGAAAATTCTGTGTTAAAAAAGACAATAACTGAAATGAAAATTCACTTAGAAGGCTCAACAGCAGATTTGACCTGACAAAGGAAAGTATCAGCAAAAAAGAACATAGATCAATAGAGATTTTTCCAATGTGAAGAACAGAAGAAAACAAGAATGAAAAAAATTAACAGATTGTTAGAGATCCATGCAACACTACTAAGCAAACTAACATATGTGCAATAAAAGTCCCACAAAGAGAGGAGAAAGAAGAAAAGAAAACATATTTGGAAAAATAATGGCTGAAAACTTCTTAAATTTAATGAAAATTATTAATCAAGATATCCAAGAAGCTCAATGAACTTCAAATAGGATAAACACAAAGAGATCCACGCCGAGACATATTATATTAAAATTGCTAAAAGACAGTTCCGGAGGAATAAGTTCTGGAGATCAATTGTACAGCATGGTGACCATAGTAAATAATAACATAGAATATACTTGAAAATTACTAAGAGAGTATATACTAAGTGTTCTCATGAAAAAATAAGTATTTGATGCAACGAATGTGTTCATTAGCTTTATTTAATCACTGCACAATGTATACACCATAAGTACATAACATTTTTTATTTGCCAATTAAAACTTAATAAAGTTGGGGAAAAAACTATTGAAAAAGACAAAGAGAAAATTTTAAAAGCAGCAAAAGGAAAATAACTCAATATACAAGGAACCAAAATAAGAATAACATCTGACTTCTTATCAAAAAAGACAGGTCAGAGGGCAATGGAATGATATATTAAAAGTGCTGCAAGAGAAAAAACAAAAACAACCATCAACCAAAAATTAAATATCTAGCAAAACTATCTTTTAAAAATGTTGGTGAACAAAATACATTCCCAGATTTAAAAAAAAATACCATGTCCAAACAAAAATATCACTCAGCAATCCTTCATTAAATACTAATTGAAGGTCTACTACATATCATTTGTATTAGGTACTGATATAATGCAGTATAAATCGGATATCCCCTGGGTCTCTTGGAGTTTTCAGTCCACTTAGGGTGGAGAGGAAGAAAGACATTAATAAAAAAATTATGCTAATAAATACGAAATTCAAATTTGAAATACTCTGAAGAACATGCTCAATGATTGTGGTACAATGAAACCCCCTTATCTAAAAATCCCAGAAAAAGTTGCACTGAAAGTGAGGTCTAAAGGCGAGAAGGGGGACACAGCATTCCATGTGAAAAACAGCATGTGCAAGAATCTTGAGTTGGAAGGGATCCTAGTTCTTTGAAACATTTGAGATAAGTGATACTGGAGCACAGAGACAGGGGAGGGGCAGTAGTAACACAAAATAAGGCTATTGAGGTAGGTAGCAATGGAGAAAAGGAGCCATTGAAAAATGAGACTATCAGATTTGTATAAAAAGACAGAGGGGTATGGAAATTTAGGATATGAGCAAAGTGGCACTAAAATAACAGTTAAAACCATGGAATAAAAGCTGAATAAGAAGGTAATGAAGAGAGGAAATGGAATGAAAGAAAGTAAAACTGTTAATAGTAAGAGCTAGTTCCAAAGAAGGTTCTGTGCAAACAGTTTCAAAAGTAACGTGAAAATGATTGGGTTGCCAGGTGTAGGCTGGGTAGGGAATCCACTTAAAAACAAGACAAGGAATGACACAGAAGTGGCAGACAAAATCTCTCTGGCTTATAGAACATCCAGGGGAAATGTCTACGAGACGACTAAACAGAAGGTTCTTAAGCTTAAGTAAGAGAACAAAAAGAGGAAGAACTTAGAGGCAGATCCTTACTTAAAACTCAAATTCTTTACCCTCTTACCTTTATACCTTTTTACTCTGCTTTATGAGCTACCTATAACAATGATTCAAATAAAATGTAAAGATCTAAGTAGAATAACACATTTTGAGAAAGGCTTTACTCTGGTGTACCTTTAAATTTACATTCAGATCATTCTCATTTTTTTTTTTTTTAATGTGACTGGTAAGGGGATCGCAACCTTTGGCTTGGTATTGCCTGCACCACACTCAGCCAGTGAGCGCACCGGCCATCCCTATATAGGATCCGAACCCGTGGCAGCACTGCACTCTCCGAGTGAGCCACAGGGCCAGCCCAGATCATTCTCATTTTAAGTTACAAAATTATTTTTAACAAGGAGAACATGTACTATTTTCTATAAAAGTTTTATAAAATTTCCACTTCTCAAGCTTTTAAGTTTCCTTTGAATTTACATTTTGTTATTGTTGTTACACTTTCAGTTGAATTTTACACCAACCTATGAGATTAACTTCTATTACTGGTATCTCAAATAACTTTGCTTTTTCTTCACAGATTTTTTCCCTCATTACTTGATCAGTATAAGTAGAGTAGAAATATTTAATATACTTAGACACATTTCCTTCTGGAAACATTTGAGTGCATTTTCAACTTATTTGTATTTAATTTTTTTTAATAAATCATTTTGTTTTTCCTAGTCATATACTTCTAATACAAGAGCAGACACTTTTAGTTCAATGTCTTCTTTTGGATCTCTGCTTTGAAAGCTACTATTAAATTTTGAATCTGGGGAAACTAAGCTTGTGCTCTTCCTTTCAGCTAAGTTTAGATAGTTTATTTGCCACCGAATTTCTGTTGGAGATTAATCTAAGTTCCTCCTCCTGACTCTCTCTGGATTTATACAGATAATTCTCAACTTTACCTCTGATGCAGATGAGTTTGTTCTTAAAATCCCTGAATATTTATCTCTCAATTTCACTTCTGGTGGAAATAATGCATATTTCATTTTTTCATCTGGCACAGCTCCTGATTGGTATTCCTCTAACGGTGGTGTTTTGTCCTCTTCTGTTATTTCCAGGCTAGGAATAATGTGCAGTGGAGGATCTACGGTTAGAAGTGTTGAGTCAACCCTTTTAGGAGCAACAGCAGTTGAATCATCTTGGTCCGATTGGTTCACAGTTGGTATAGTCAGGCTTTTCTTATTATAAGTATTCAGTAGCTAGAAAATACAGCAATAAAACAAGCTACCAATTAATCATTATTGACTATAAAATATTGAAAATTAATAAAATTACTTAAAGTCAATTTTACACTTACCCTTTATCATAACAAGTTACCATCAATATTTGTAAATTATTATATTACTTAATAAAAGACATGAGAAATTCTCTACTTGCCTGAAATCATGAAATATATATGATTTATAAAGCAGTGGTTCTCATATGTCCAAATTTTATATCAGCAACATCTCAAAATAGAAAACCTGGGGTGGACATTTACTATACATTATGCTATCACCAATAGATCATGAAACAAGGGAAATTTTAATAGCAAAATAGCACAGAGAATAATATCATAAAATCACAACTATGTCATAAAACAGACAAAATTTTAATAGAAAATAGTACAAAGAATAAAGGATAGCCTGCTAAGCTAAATAAATTTGGCCTTATGAAAAATTCTCTATATTGTCTTATTAATTCTTTCTTTGAACTGAGGAAAACTGTCACGTACTGACTCTTCAGTTGGTATTTGGAAGCCACTTGACCCAAGGATGGAAATCACTAAATCCTATTTGTCAAGCAGTAGAAAAGGACCTTTTACTCATTATTGGTTTACATGGGGATCCACTGCTTTACCGAATAAATACCTTCTATAAAATTAGCTGAAAATAAATTATATTATGTGAACTCTATTTTTTACTGACTTTTTCCCTCCATCTATAAATATTTCTCCATTTACAAATATTTCATTCTTTTATAAAATTATGACTATTAGAAATTCTCTTCCAACTTCCCTTACCTCACTTGGAGTAGTTTCAGCTTCCTTGTTTACAAGAGGGACATCTGTTTAAAAAATTAATAGAAGTATGTTATTTTACATAAAATAATAAACATTATTTATTTGTATGTACATTGATAAAATACTCTTACTATTTTTCTCATCAAGAACAAAGGGTAACTTAAATCAAAGCAGCTACTGAAACAAATAGTGCTTAATAAAAACAGGCTGATGAATCTCTGGGAAGATGAGGGGAGTGGTAAATGAATAAGTGTGGAGATGAAATGAAAGCATGCATAAAGTGATAAGATCTCAGATCCATCAATATAAGACCTAAAATCAGGTATAGACTATATTTTGTAAAAGTTAAAAGGAAATAAAATAAATCTGATATGGTGAGTGATAGGGTTGGAATTGGCAAAATGTGCATGAACCAGAGAAAATAGGACCATTCAAGGAAGACTGATTAAAATGCTGTAAAAATTTCCTACAAAGTTAAGGAATGCATATTTAGGAGTATAAAAAGAAAACCTAAAAAGGACAGAAAGAGAACAAATAAATGAGACACAAAGAAGTGTATAATTCTAGTTTAAAAGAAATTTACTCTGGTCATAATTAGCTGCATGACTTTGGCCACCTCTTTTTGTCCTTTTAAAATCATGATAAGAACACAACATGAGATCTATCCTCTTAACAAAACTTTAAGTGTAAAATACAGTAAGGTTAACTATAGGTACAGCAGATCTCTAGAACTTAACTGTCTTGCATAACTGAAACTTTATGCTTGTTGAATAGCAACTCACCGTTTGCCCCTCTTCTTAGCCTTGGGCAACCACCATTCTACTCTGTGCTTCCATGTATTTGGCTATTTTATATACCTCATATAGTAGTATCATGCAGTATTTGTCTTTCTGCTAGCTTATTTCACCTAGTATAATGTCCTCAAGGCTCATCCATGTTGTCACATATGGCGGGATTTCCTTTTCTTTTTTTAACTCTAAATGATATTTCATTGAATGTCTATACCATATTTTATGTATTCATCTGTGGAAGGACACTAGGGTTGTTTCCACATCTTGGCTATAGTTAATAACACAGCAATGAATATGGGAGTGCAAATATAACTTAGAGATCCTGATTTCAATTCTTTTGGATAGACACCCAGAAGTGGATTGCAGAATCATGTGGTGTATCTATGTTTTTGAGTAACCTCCATACTGTTTCTGAAGTGACTGCACCATTTTACATTCCCACCAACAGTGTACAAGGGTTCCAATTTCTCCACATCCTTCCCCAAACTTGTTATCTTTTGGCTTTTTTATAATAGCCATCCTACCAGTATGTGGTGATATCTCATTATGATCTTGACTCACATTTCCCCAATGATTAGTGATGTTGAGCACCTTCTCATATACCTGTTGGTCATTTGTATATCTTCTTTGGAGAAATGTGTATTCAAGTGCTTGGCCCATTTTTAATTGGATTTTTTTATTTGTTTTCTGAGGTTTTTGTTTTGTTTTGTTCTTTTTTTGCTACTGAGGTGAAGGACTCCTTTATATATTTGGATATCAACCCCTTATCAGATATGCAGTTTGCCAATATTTTCTCCCATTCTGTAGGTTGTCTCTTCACTCTGTTAATTGTTTCCTTCCTTGTGCAGAAGTTTTTTAGTTTGATGTAGTGCCACTGTCTGTTTTTGTTTTTGTTGCCTGTGCTTTGGTGTCTTATCCAATAAATTATTGGCCAAACCAATATCATTGAGCTTTTCCCCTACATTTTCTTCTAGGAGTTTTAAAGTTTCAGGTCTTACCTTTAAGTCTTTAACCTATTTTGAGTTGTTGTTGTTTTTTTAATAATGTAAAATAAGGGTCCAATTTCATTCTTTTGTATATGGATATCCAGTTTTCCCAACACCATTTGTTGAAAAGACTATCTTTTCCTCATTGTGTACTCTTGGCACCCTTCTCAAAGATCAGTTGACCATACTTTCATGGGTTTATTTCTGGACTCGTCTGTTCCATTTGTCGGGTCTTAAACCAGGGACTATAGGTATAGTCCAATGAGCCTGGGGTACTGGCCACCTGGTAGGGCATGGAGGCGCTGGCTTTGTATCCCCTTGGGGTGACAGGGCTGGGGATTGCCCCTCCTCTAGTTTAAAGGCTTTCTGTCCTTGTCAAACTTAGACCAGCACTCACGCTTCCAATGAAGCCCCTTACCGCACCTAGGGCACGGCGTAGAGGGAAGGTTTTTATTTTTCCGGTTGGGACAGTCCCTTTTGAAATGACTTTGTTCCCCACAGCCATAACATTGAGCAACTATATTCCAATTCCAAAAGGGAGCAACAGAAAAGAAGAAAGGATTAACCAACCCACAGCATGTCTGAAACCCAGCAGGGCAGACATTTTGAGCTTGTAGAGCGGAAGTTAAGGCCCTGGTTTGTGGTTGGTAGCTTCCAACGTCTCTACTGGCAATGACCCACTTTTCCATAGAACGATCTTTGAGCCCGGCATAGGCAAGCTTGTGGTCGGCAGTCATGCCGTCCCACACTAGCATTTTTACAAACTGGTCCCGGAGAGGACCTGGGGGAAACTTTCTCTGTATGCTCTGTTCCACCCGAACTATGAAAGAGGGCAGGTCCTCAGAGGGTTGCTGGGTGACCCCGGCCATTGCGGGCTCACTGGGCCCTTCAGCCAACTTTTCCCATGTGGCTAACGCTGTTGCCCTAACCTGGTAGGGAGCTGGGATAGCAGCCTGTTGGATTCCAGTACTAAATTGATCTGCTGTTCCAGACAGCATGCCGAAGCTGATAGGGATGGGTGGGTTGGCTGCTTGATTTATCTCTGCCTGCACATGGCACTCTTCTTTAACGAAGGTTCAGAACTTGATAAACAAGTTTGGGGGGAGGACAGCCTTACAGAGCATTTTCCAATCTTGGGTTGTGAAAGGTTGGTGCACTAAGCCCTGGAGGATGGTTTCTGCCCATGGGGAATTGGGCCCATCCTCTGTGACAGCCTTTTTCAGCTCTTTAAGGTCACGAGCTTCCCAAGGGTACCAAGCAACTGGCCTATTTCCACTGGGGGCAACGTTGACCGGATAGGCCTGAGGGGCCGCTTCCCCCTACGGGCTGCAGATGGCTGGGGGCTCCCAGCGAGCCATGAGGAAAAGCCTGCAGCTCTGCCGGGGGTGTTTTTAAAGGGGGACTAGCCTCCTCCACTTCTTCAGGTGCCCCCTTCTCTCCTTCGGCTAGGCTCTGGTGGGATGAGTATGCCAGGAGAGGAGGGTACAGGGTAGGGGCATAGGTATCACTCAGTGGCTCAGGGCCTTACATTGGCAGCTTTGTTTCCTTTTTTCTCTCCTCATCGAACTGTGACCAATCCCTTTCTGCCCCTTCCTGATGCTTGGGATGGAAGCAAAGCTTTAGGGCAGAGATGATTGGGTAGAACCCTAAGGGGGGGAGGTCTTGCCCGTGACTAATCTCGTTCTTTCTGGCCGGGTCTGAACCCTGTTCCAAGTCTCATACGAGAGCAAGTTGGACGAAGGTGCCCAAGGGGCCACCTGCACCACATGACACCAGGCATTGGTGACCGTGGAGTCAGATATTTCTAGGCCTCTGCTTTTTAACATGTACTTTAAAGCTTTACAGGCTGTCTTGTCACTCTTTCCACACACACCTCCCCTGTTGCCCCACAAGGAAGGGACAAAGGGAAGCAACAGGGCAGAGAAGTGCAGGGACTTCCCCCTGTTATGGTACTCACCCTGACATGCAGGCAGATTGCTTCACGGAGACTACTGCGGTTGCGGGGGCCACTCCGTTGGTTGATCACCCTTTGCCGACCTTCTTTCAGGACCGAGCAGCCGGGGGCCTCACTCGCTCGCCTTTTACCCATGAGTTTTAAAAAATGCCTCACACGGGGCACTACTCTGTCGGGTCAGCCACTGGCCGGCCCGTACAGCCCTTGCCTTCCTATTGGTCCCTCCCTTGTTCTCCCCTGTGGGTGGCGGGTGGATTGCCCAGATTCCTCTTTCCCTCCGGTCCCTGTTGGAAAGAGACAGGAGAAGAGAGCCGCGAAGAGAGGTGAGCACAGCCGCCAGCCTCAACCAGCCCGTTAAAGGACACTCAGGCTTGGCGGGGGTTCTGTTGAGCAGTTCCATTGATTATCACACAAGCACTTGCTTTTAAAGGCAAATGGAGAAGGGAGGTCTTTATATCCTCCAATCAGCTTAAAGGTTACGAGAGCATGCATCCTGTCTCAATGCCTAGCTATTGCAATCACACAGTGTTCACGAGTGCGGAAGCGCGTATTTGGCCAATAAGGCTAAGGCAAGGTTCCTGCAGACACTCCCACCTTACTTCCTCTGGGCACCATCTTAGGCTGCTACGTTAATATGCCCTTGTGGGCCCATAATGGCGCCGCTTGTAATGTCTCTTAAGGTGGTGTTAGTTTTTAAGGCCCAACACCATTGAGCTATATGTCTGTCTTTATGCTAGTAACATACTGTTTTAATTACTATAGCTTGTACTTTATTTTGAAATCAGGAAGTGTGATACCTCCAGCTTTGTCCTTCTTTCTCAAGATTGTTTTGGCTCTTCAGGGTCATTTGTGATATAAATTTAGGATTTTTTCTATTTCTGTGAAAAATATTATTATAATTTTGATAGGAATTGCATTGAATCTGTAGGTCATTTTGGGTAGTATGAATATTTTAACAGGATTAAATCTTCAAATCCTGGAATACAGGATGTCCTTCCCTTTATTTTGTCTTCCTGAATTTAATTCATCAATGATTTTTAGTTTTCAGTGTGCAAGTCATTCATCTCCTTTGTTAAATTTATTCCTTTATTCCTAAGTATTTTGTTCTTTTTTTTCTTTTTTTAAAGATGACCGGTAAGGGGATCTTAACCCTTGACTTGGTGTTGTCAGCACCACGCTCACCCAGTGAGCGAACCGGCCATCCCTATATGGGATCCGAACCCGGGGCCTTGGTGTTATCAGCACCGCACTCTCCCGAGTGAGCCACGGGCCGGCCCCAAAGTATTTTGTTCTTTTTGAAGCTAACTGTAAAT